GGAGCTCACATCACTCTGTGGACAAGGCTAGCCTCAATCTCAAGAGATCTACAGGCTCTGTCTCTGGATTAAAAACAGGAGGCACTATGACAGAAAACCTGAACTTATTTTTTTGTTTTACTTTATTTCTTTGGGGGTCAGGGGGTAGAGGGGTTTAAAAAAAAATGTCTGGTTATCCTTTGCTCTATATTTAATATTCACCCATGAGTGAATACATACCATGTTTGTCTTTCTAGGTCTGGTTTACCTCACTCAGGATTTTTTTTTTCCTAGTTCCATCCATTTGCCTGCAAATTTCAAGGTTTCATTTTTTTTTTTTTAACACTGAGTAGTACCACATTGTATAAATGTACCGCATTTTCTTTAACCATTCTTCAGTTGAGGGGCATCTAGGTTGTTTCCAGGTTCTGGCCATTACAAATAATGCTGCTATGAACATAGTTGAGCAAATATCCTTGTGGTATATCCTTTGGACAGCCAAGCACTGGGCTGAGCTCCTGGAGTTCAGTTGAAGAGAGGGAGAAGGGATCATATGAACAAAGGGGGGAGGGTCAAGAGAATGATGGGAAAAACCACAGAAACAGCTGACCTGAGCTAGTGGGAGTTCATAAACTATGAACTGACATCTGGGGAACCTTCATGGGACCGAACTAGACCCTCTGAATGTGGATGACAGCTATGTGACTTGATCTGTTGAGAGGAAGTCCCTGGCAGTGGCACCAGGACCTATCTCAGGGGCATGAACTGGCTTTTCGGAGACCATTCCCTATGGTGGGATACCTTGCTCAACCTTGATACTGGGGGGAGGGGGTTGGCGTTGGTCCTGCTTCAATTTAGTATGCCAGACTTTGTTGACTTCCCAAGAAAGTCCTTACCCCTATGAGGAGTGGATGAAGGTGGGAAGGAAGGGGGGAGGGAAAGGGGGAAAGGACAAGACAAGGGGAGGGAGCAGGAACTGGGGTTGGTATGTAAAATGAAAAATAAGTTTTAAAAAATAAAAAGTCGCCGGGCGTTGGTGGTGCATGCCTTTAATCCCAACACTCGGGAGGCAGAGGCAGGCGGATCTCTGTGAGTTCAAGACCATCCTGGTCTACAAGAGCTAGTTCCAGGAAAAGCCTCTAAAGCCACAGAGAAACCCTGTCTCGAAAAACCAAAAAAAATAAAACAAAAAATCTGCTTTCTGCTTCAAGAAGCACTCTCCCCCCAAACCAAGTGGCAGCAGCACACGCCTTTAATCCCAGAATTTTCGAAGCAGAGGCAGGTGGATCTCTGAGTTTGAGGCAAGCCTGGACTACAAAGTGAGTTTGAGGACAACCAGGACTGTACACAGAGAAGCCCTGTCTCAAAAAAACAAAAAACAAAAACAAGAGGACAAAAAACAAAACAAAACAAAAACTAAAGAACCCCCACCAACGACCAACTATCAATACTGCTGTCCTTTGTCATTCTCAAAGCTCACAGGTCACTTAATCTGCTTAACTCTCACTCAGGCTTCTTTGCTCTCAGAGAATGCCATCCCTTTCTCTCCAGCAGTTACTACAGTTTGCAATCATATTTGGGTGTGGGATGAGCTGAATGGCATCTGCTTTTGTTAAGAAATGGTTCTCAACAGGGACAGTCTGCTTGAGTTATTCCTGTCTTGGAACCTAGCACAGTGATCTGATGGATCTTCAAAAAGACTTTGTTGAATTAAGGAATGAAGAAAAGTACCAGGGCTTCCAAACACATCACCAGCTGTGTGAGTAGAGACAGCATTCGCTGTATGTTTGGAACATTTATTTTGCTTTGGGGAAGGACATTTATGATCGTGTCAGCCAGGTTTTATTTTCAATATTTAGGCTCCTGTTCATACTGGTCCCCAGCTGGTAGAAAGAGCAAAATAAAAGCAAAGTTCATGGAATTGTCACCGCCTATGGCAAGTACCATGTAGAAACTTTTCAAAGCTTAGTGCATTGCAATCAACAGTTCAAAATTTCCAAATTCAGAGAGTTACACAAGACTGATCCTAGAGTCCCAGCAAATCAGAGGGGCAGGGGTGCATTGGTAATGGGGGGTGGGGGGTGACAGGGACTGGTTTTGAAGCATAGTGATATTCCATTTTCCTGGATGGCTGAACAAGTTGCTTCACCTGAGACTACAAAGTAGAAATAATACTGCTTGCCCTTTTGTGCTTTGTACACAGCTAAGGGTGGTTCACAAGAGAGGTAATTTGTTTTTTTGACAGTGCCCTCTCCTCCCTACCTCAGGACTGAACTCTTGACAGGCCATTTACCACTGAGTCACACCCCCAAGCCAGGGTGCTTTCTTATGCAATCTCAGAGACACAGTGGCACCGGACATGTGAGGGACATGAACTACTTGCGTTTTGCAATGATGATGTGGGAGCCAGTGTTCGGTGCACAACATGCTGGGTGTTGTTCTCTCAGCATACAAATGGCCTTGTGTTCACATCTGAGAGACCTCCTCCCAGATACCTTATGCCGACTGATTAGGGTAGAGATATCTGGGATGACAGAACAATGACTCAAAGGACAGTGCATAGGGCAAAGTTAAGTGTGCTTTGGAGATGGAGGGGTGTGTTTGTGTGACTCTTCAACTGGTCAGAGTGCATAATAGCAGGACATCGAAGGCAGTGAAGTACTCAGAGGTCTGATGCCACTGGGAGAATCTTCAGCCTGGAGACTGAATGCATGGGCACTGAGACAAAAGCCAGGAAGGAGACCTGCTGACAGAGGTGCTGGTCAATTAAAAGCCCAAACGTGGGACTGGAGAGACAGTCAGTGGTTAGGAGCACTGATTGCTATCCTGGAGGACTTGGGTTTGGTTCCCATCACTAACAGGGCCACTCACAATGGTCTGTAACTCCAATTTCAGGGGATCCAACACCCTCTTCTGATCTCCATGGGCACTGCACCCCCATGGTACACAGACACAGGTGGAGACAAAACACTTGCACACATACAATAAGATTTAAAAAAAAGAGAGTGAGCTCAAACAGCACCTCTTTCTTCTTGCCTTCTGGGAGTCAGGCCACAGATGGGCTGGCTCACCTCTGTGCTACTTTGCCTTAATAAACTATCTCTTTTCTTGTAAAAAAAAAAAAAAAAAAAAAGGAAGGAGGGAGGGATTAAAAAAAAGAGAGTGAGCTCAAACAGCACCTCTTTCTTCTTGCCTTCTGGGAGTCAGGCCACAGATGGGCTGGCTCACCTCTGTGCTACTTTGCCTTAATAAACTATCTCTTTTCTTGTAAAAAAAAAAAAAAAAAAAAGGAAGGAAGGAAGGAAGGAAGGAAGGAAGAAGACAATGATGCCGAAGCCGAAGGGGTAGAAGCAGCAGCAGCCTCCTGTGCCACCCGAACAACTCCTTTGCCAGGACTTGAGGGGTCAGGCCAGTCTGCTAAAGCGGGAGCACTCAGAGCTTTGGTTTCTGTGCTCCCAGACACATTCTTCTCTCATGAGTAATCAATTTGTTTGATCAAAGCATTTGGTATTCCCTTGAGGAGAGATCAACAAGAGTGGTGTACAACGTCAGGATTCACCAAGTTCCTTGGGAACTTTCTCCTCAGTTGCGCATGGAATGTGCCTGTTACCCCTATTTCACACATGGGGATGGTGATGTGCTTAGTCGGGGCACTCGGAAGTGATTGTAGGGGCTGGAGAGATGGCTAAGTGGTTAAGAGTACTGACTACTCTTCCAGAGGACCCTCGTTCGATTCCCAGCACCCACATAGCAGCTCACATCTGTCTATAGCTCCAGTTCCAAGGCATCTGGCACCTTTACACAGACGTACTTGTAGGAAAAACATCAATGCACACAATAAATAAAATAAAATAATAAAATAAAAAAGAAGTGGTTGTATGCAATTATTCTCAGCCCCTGATTTCCTGCTACTGTTTCCCCAGCCTTATGTGTTTGTTTGTTGGGGCTGTGCAAAGCCTAGGCTGTTCTGCCTGAAAACTTCCAGAATCACACAACTTCCAAGGCTACAAGGGAAAAGACAAGCCATTTAACCCAACTTATTTCGCAGATGGGGAGGGAGTCTGAGGCAGAGAGGAAGATGACTCAACCATGTCCTCTTTGTAGAAGTTTGTGGCTCAGCCTGCGTGACCCTACCTTTGCACCAATGGCACACCCAACCTAGTCTTGTCCCAAGCTCGCTCCGCACGTTCAAAGTGCACGTGCGGAGGTGCCTATTGACTGGATACTTTTGCCCAAAGTAATTGCTACCATGTCCTGTGCATTCATTGCGCAACGAGTATTTTACTAAGTGCCTATGTGCTAGAAATGTTGTGAAAACAGGCAAGAAAGACACTGTTCTTGCCCTATGCACGTGATAAGTATCTAAACGAGGTAATTTTAGATTCTGGGAAGAAGGGTAGAAAGAAAACAAAATGGAATTAATGTAGGTGAGGTGAGGCTTCAGATAAAGTGGTATTGAAAAACCTTACCACTCAAGGTGTGGTCCTTTCCGACGACCCTCCCGCCCCGCCCCGCTCTTTGCTGACAAATGAGAAGGAGCCAGGGTGGCATATCAAGTCGCAGTGTCCCTACTCCCTAACCAGCTGCCCCTGAGCGGCCAGTAGAACCATATGGCCAGGATGATGAAACTCAAGGCGAAGACTGCATCACCTCGCGGTCCATGTCCCCGTAGGTGTCGCGAGGTGAGGGTGGAGGGAGGCGGGGCGGGGTCTGTGTCTAGGGTGAAGCAGCCAAGCAGCAAATAACTAAATACCAAAAGCCTCTGGAAAGCACAGCTGCCTCCCTACAGTCGGGATTTTCTGTCCCCCAGAACCCGCCCAGACGATAGCTCCCCGCCCCCTGACCAGCCCGGTCCGGCCTGCGCCAGGCCCTAGAGGACTTGTAGTTTATCTGGCACAACACAGCAGCGTTGCTACGGCCCAGACAACTACAAGACCCAGAAGCCAGCGCGCAGGCCCGAGGCGGAGTCGGCGGCGGTGGGTGTGCGAATGAAGAGGGCCAGGAGGTGCGGGTGCCAGGCGCCAGGATGCGGTGGCCGGCCACTCAGTTTGGGAGCAGCCCAGGCGCTTATTGACTGGGGCGGTGCAGGCTGCCCTGCGGCGACAGGCACGTTGCATTCGCACATTAGGTGCAGCCCGGGCCACCAGAGGCACAGCGTCTCGGTGCTGCAGTGGCGCGGTGCGGGGTCCCGGTAACCAGAGGGTGGGAATCCTGCCCCGGAGCTTAGGCTGGTGCTGCTGGCCGAGAGCCTTGGGCTCTTGGGGGATTGGTGTCCACCTGGGGCTGTGCGCGATGACTTGCTCTTGTTCTTTCTGGGCCAGGGTTATCCTCGGCAGGTTCGCGATGCAGCGGGCGGGGGTGTTTGTGTGGCGGGGGGCTCGG